TATATATGTGTGCATGTGAATGTATGTGTATGTGTATATGTGTATATGTGTATATATGTGTTCATATGTATATATGCATGCATGGGTATGTATGTGAATATGTATATATGTGTATATGTGTTCATATGTATATATGTGTGCATGTGAATGTATGTGTATATGTATGTGTGTATATGTGTATATGTGTTCATATGTATATGTGTGCATGTGACTGTATGTGTATATGTATGTGTGTATATATGTGTGTTCATATGTATATATGCGTGCATAGGTATGTATGTGTATATGCATATATGTGTATATGTGTTCATATGTATATATGTGTGCATGTGAATGTGTGTGTATATGTGTATATATGTGTTCATATGTATGCATGCATAGGTATGTATGTGTATATGTTTGTGTACATGTATATACATACATGTGCGCACATGGGTGTGTTTATGTCTGTATGTGTGTGGGTATGTGTGTATATATATTTGTGTGTATGTTTGTATATGTCTGTGGGTATATATATGTACGTGGGTAGGTGTGTGTGTTTAAAAACCTTAATAGAGCAACAGGACAAAGCTAGGACAGAAAGGCCACTGCAGGCAGCAGTATGGAAATGCCTGGAAGCTTTCCTAGTGAACCAGCCCCCGTCCAAAAGCCGGCGTAGAGTTTTGCCTTGTTAAGGTTGCATGGTGAATACATTCATATATACCAGCAGGAATCTTTTTAGTAATAACCACCAGGCACCTGGCAACAGAGAGACAGGGAGGTGGGAAAGACTCCAGACGTGGTGGCGATAATGAGAGCTGGAGGCCCAAGCACCATCCAGCTGTGAAGAGCCAGGAGCCCCCGTGCAGCAATCTGAATGTCTGCACCCCCCAGAATTCATATATTGCAACCTAATCACCAGGCGGTGGCATCAGGAGGCAGGGCCTTTGAGAAGTGATGAGTCTCAAGGGTGAGGCCCTTGTGGATGGAATCAGCACCCTTATAAAAGAGGACTCCAGAGAGCTACCCCATCCACTCCACCAAGTGAGGACACAGCAGGAAGGTGCCATCTATGAACTAGGGAGCAGGCCCCGAGCAAGCCTGGATTTCGGACTTCCCAGTCCTAGAGCTGTGAGCAGTAAATCTGCTGCTTATACACGGCCCAGTCTACTGTATTTTGCTATGGCAGCCTGGACAGACGGATACACACATCAAAAATCCAAAGCGTGAAGACAGGAAGGCAAGCAGGCCTGGGAAGGACTGAGATCAAACTTTTAGATCAAGAGAACTGAGTGTAAAACTCAGTTTGAGGACCAAAGAAAGACTATGAGGAGGACCCCACCGGAAGTACCCCGGCAAAGGAGGGACCCAGGGCAGTTGCAGACTGAGCCAAGGAGACTGGACTTAGAAATGAAAGAACCCGGATGCGAAGTGTCTGGGGAGCCTGGGAGGGTGCATTAGCAGGAAGTATGGTGAGGTCTCTAGCTAAGAAAAGGAAGGGACTGGAAAGTGCCCCAGAAACAGGGAACTCACTCTCCACTCTCCTCCCTTCACTGCTTACAGCTGGGAAGCCAAATGCTTCCATCCCAACAGCCAGGATTTCTGGGCCAGGCAGAGCCGTGTTCAGACCTTGGCTTTCCCACTTGCCAGCGGTCTAAGAGACAGGGGGAAGGTTTTGCAGGCTTCTCAATCTATAAAGTGGGGCCAATAAGACCTTTTTGCAGGATGTGAGGATTCTTGGTCTTGAATGTCTATTTGGAGAATTCATGTCTACAAAATGCCTGCTATCTTGTAGGTCATAATTCACTGTAATTGCTATTTAATGCTATCAGTTCCTGAACACATTGCTAGGGGCAAGGGAGGTCCAGGAAAAAAAGAAGGTAGGAAAAGCTTAAGAGCCGGTGTTTGGAAGAAGAAATTCTACCTCCTCCCTCCTTTGATTTCCGTGATGTAAAGGCCCAAAGTGACCCAGGACCAGGAAATCCGACTGTGTCAGGGAAGCCAGTGATTGGCCAGTGTCAGGATTTAACGGTTGCTTTTACAAACATTCACGGAGTCCCAGTTATGTGCACTGCACTCTTAATGCTGGGGACAGAGATCCAGATCCAGATGGACTATGGGAAACAGAATGACAACCTGGCACTGGGCTTAAAGGTCCTGATCATTGAACTGTACACCTAAAATGGGGGGGGGGATTTCAAGGCATGCACATGACACCTTATGACAGCTGGACCACGACCAGCCATGAGGCCGTGAGTAAGGCAGGGACTTCCTCCCTCAGTCTCAGTTGTTTTCCTGCTGAAATCCGACCCTGCCCTCTACAACAGCTGCCTTAAATGACCCACAGTTCACCCTCAGGTCCCATTTAAAAGCAAAACAAGGTACACGAGAGTGCTACGTAAACCGGAAAGGGTGCAGAGCGCCCCATCATTATACTTTCTCTCTGATACATGCAGAAACTCGAAAGAGGGAGACTTCGGGGAGCTAGAAAGTTGGGGGGTTCTTGGAGGAGGGGGGTTTGAGTGAGATCCTGGAGCATCAGCAGGATTTAGATGGGCAAGGAGGAGGGAGAAGAGAAATAAAAGGAGGAGGGCGAGGAAAAGGTGGAGGAGGAAGAAAAGGAGGAGGAGATGAAGGAAGAGAAGGAGGAGGAGGAAGAGAAGGAAGAAAAGGAGGGAAAGGAAGAAGAGAAGGAGAGAATAAAGGAAGAGGAGGAGGAGGAAGAGGAGAAGAATGAGAAAGAAGATGGGAAGAAGAGAAGAGAAACGGGAAGAGAAGGAAGAGGAAGAAGAGGAAGGGTGAATGTGGGAGGAGGAGGAGGAGGACGCTGCAGGTGGAGGAGTCTCTGGAGCACAGCTGTGACAGTGGTGAAGGTGAGCTGTGCTTCCAGGGCAGTGACAAGATGTGCCCCATTACACTGGATGCTTCACCCACGCCAAGACCATGTAGGACCCACGAGTTAAACAACTAAACATTTCCAGAACATCACGCTTCTGATTTCTCTTGAAGCACACACAGACCTTGTCAACCTCGGCCCACCTTCTAGCCTGGCAAAAATGAACTAGACCTGCCATAATCCTTAACATTCCCCCACACTGCAGCCTCCCTTCCTCCCCGACACTGCAGCCTCTACTCCTCCTCCACAATGCAGATTCTCCTCCTCCCCCACACTGCAGCCTCTACTCTTCCCCCACAATGCAGCCTCTACTCCTCCCTCACACTGCAGCCTCCACTCTCTCCACACACACTGTAGCCTCTCCTCCTCCCCCACACCGCAGCCTCTCCTCCTCCCCCACACTGCAGCCTCTACTCCTTGTGATTGCTCACTGGTCCCTGCAGCCGTTTGCTCTGTGCCCTCTGGCATGGGTGGCACTGGAAGAGCAGGCAGGCAGGACAGGATAGGAAAGCAGTGGGAAGCATACTAGCTCTGGGATCAGAAAGTCTGGGATGGAAATGCTGGTCCATCACCTCCTGGCCCTGTGGCAAGCTATGGAAGCTTCCTAAATCTCAGCGTGCTTGTCAATAAAACAGGGAAAACGTCACTCCCTTGGAGAGCCACTGTTTTCAAAAGATGCCCATCTGAGATACACCTGGCACAGTAGGTAACACATAGTAGGTGCTCACAATGGTATTATTAGTGCCGATGGCAGACTAAGGAGGTTTTAATGAACCCAGTGGGCCTTGGGGAGCCACCGTGGGCTTTGAGCAGGGGGTTGATGTGGGAGAAGTTCATTTCATGAAAGGTGTCTCTGATGGTGTGTGCAGCAGGAAGGGACGAGGGAGGGAAGGAGACAAGTTTGTCAGGGGTGAAGAAAGGGAGTTGGGTCTCTAGATTCTATCATTTGTGGCCCACAGCACAAGCACAATGGAGGCTCACATGTTTCTGCATTTTGCCATTATAGTTAAGATAACAAATGGGCTGGTGTGCCATAGTCCCAGCACTTTGGGAAAACAAGGTGGGAGGATCATTTTAGTCCAGGAGTTCGAGACCAGCCGAGGCAACATAGCAAGACCTTATCTCTACAAAAATAATTTTTAAAAAACTGGTTGGGTGTGGTAGTTCGTGACTATAATCCCAGCACTTGGGGAGGCTGAGGCAGGAGGATCACCTGAGGTCAGGAGTTTGAGACCAGCCTGGCCAACATGGGGAAACCCTGTCTTCTATTAAAAATACAAAAATTAGCCAGGCATGGTGGTGCGTGCCTGTAATCCCAGCTACTCAGGAGCCTGAGGCAGGAGAATCTCTTGAACCCGCGAGTTGGAGGTTGCAGTGAGCAGAGATCATGCCACTGAACTCCAGCCTGAGCGACAAAGTAAGACTCTGTCTCCAAAACAACAACAACAAAAAAAGTAGTGGGGCGTGGTGGTGTGCACCTGTAGTCTTAACTACTTGAGAGGCTGAGACAGGAGGATCGTTTAAGGCTGCCATGATCATACCACCACCCTCCAGCTCAGGCAACAGAGCCAGACCCCAACTCAAAAAAAAAAAAAAAGTTACAAATGAAACCAACAGATTGTTCAATGATATGTTCTTTGGCCTAAATGAGTAAGTCTTTGTAACAGCCTAAGAGGCTAGGTTCAAGTTTGGAATTTTTCAACTCCAGGAACTCCACCATGGGAACGCCAGAGCAGCCCCTCTCCACTCCCGGCCTGAGCCCCTTGTTCTGCCCCCACCTCAAGCTCTTGGAGGCTCTAGTGCATCCATGCAAGCTGGACCACCAGGCTCCCATTAGTCACCGCTGGAGGGAACTCTCACACCTAGAACAGTAGCCACTGAGTCTGCCCCTACCCCAGAAGGTTTACCCAGGAAGAGACCTGTCCAGGCCCTGGAAGTCGGTACATGCCACTGGGGCAGAAAATTCCGGACTCCTGTAGGGCGAGACTTAAGAGAGAGTATGGGCTGGGCATGACAAGTGCACTTGGGGATGTGGGGGACGACTCCTGGGTCCTTGGGGAGGGACATGCAGGAGGAAAGCCCCATCAGGAGGGGCCTTGGGGGAGGCACATGGGCCTGGCAGTACCTTTGGCGAGGGAGATGTTCCGCAGCGCGATGGAGTGCTCCCAGTCCTTGAGGCGCAGGTCCTCGGTGACTGCGTTGAGCATGGCCAGCTCCTGCTTCAGCTGCAGCTCCATGCCCACGTGTGCCAGGCGCAGGCGGCGCGTGTCCTCGCTGGCGTTGCTCACCAGCACCCGCAGGTCCTGCAGTCGCGTGCGGTGGAGGGCCACGTCATAGGACAGGCTGTGGTTGAGGCCACGCAGTACGCCGCCCACGTCCGCCAATTCCTCGCCCAGGACGCCCACCCTGCGCGCCAGCCCGTCCAGCAGGCCCGCGTGGCGCCGCAGCAGCAGCTGGCTGCTGTTGCTCTCCACCTGCAGCTGGTACAGCTCCAGCTGCGCCGAGTCGCTCTGCTGGCCCGTGCGGTCACGCAGCAGGGCCACCGCCTGCTCCGTCTGCACCGCCTGCGCCTGCAGCCCCCACAGCGCGCCCTCCAGCCGCTGCACCGCGCCCGCCAGCGCCAGCAGCGAGTCCGACTGGTTCTGCAGCACGTCCTGCACCTTCCACACCTGCTCCGTCAGGTCCGCCTGCAGCGGAGCCTGCAGAAGCCGCAGCTGCAAGTCCCGGAAGCTCTCATTCAGCCGGTTCACATTGCGAGTCAAGGCCTTCAGGTCGTCAGGGGAGCTGCGCGGCCTGGACACTGTGGAAGAGGAGGAGGAGGGGAGGCGTGAGCACCGCTGGGGAGGAAGGCCCCGGTGACAAGAGGCGAACCCAGCCAGAGCCTGGCATGCAGTAGGTGCTCAATAAATGACAGACGAATGAAAAGCAGAGCTGGTGCGCCGAGCGCTTCGCTAGATCCCAGGCGTTGTGCTAAGCCAGTGGTCCCCAAACCTGCCTGCATATTACATCACCTGGCTAGGTGTCTCACCTGCAGAAATGGTGACTGAACTGCTATGGGGTCACACCCATACCAATTCTTCATACATAGAAGAAACTGACATGAAATTATCGAGTGGTTAATTCAGTGGACCCCTACGAACCTGCCAGTTTTGAATGTTGAAAAGCGGTTGCATTATTAGCAATTTCATGTAGATCAGCTTAAGATGTCGGGTGATGTTATCCTCTCAACTTTAGGAGGTGGGTACCTGCTACAATCTGAATGTGCCCCTCCCCCCAGAATTTGTATGTGGAAACTTTAATCACTAAAGCCACAGTAAGAGAGGTCTTTAGGAGGTGATTAAGTCACGAGGGCACAGCCCTCACGTATGAGATTGGTGACTTTATCGAAGAGGTTCGAGGGAGCTGTTCATCCTTCCTGACACGTGGACACATAGAAGGTGCCATCCATGAGAAACAGGCCCTCACAAGACATGAATCTGCGGGCACCTTTATCTTGGACTTCCCAGCCTCCAGAACCATGAGCAATACATTTGTTGTTTATAAATTACCCAGTCTACAGTATTTTGTTATAGCAGCCTGAACAGACTAACACAGTACCATTTTTATCCCCTTTTATAGTTAGTTATTAGTATTGCCAGTATTGCCAAGGTAACAATTTACAGCAAGTAAATCCTATCCAAGAGGGCTAGCTCCAGAGCCTGTGGTCTTCCCCTCAAGTCAGCTTCAGGACTGTCTAAAGGAAAACCACCTCATTGGCAGACTCATCCAGGCTCAAGGCCACCGTGTCTATTTTCTGGCCTCCCAAGTTCAGGGTCCCATGTCCTTCTGCTCACGTGCTGTGCCAACAGCCTTTCTGCGTGTTCTCGGAGTGTTCTCATGACTTCTGACAAGCTGCAGTGTCTCTTGATGCTTCAGCGGCATCATGAGAAGAAACTGACATGAAACTCTCAAGCTTTCCATTCTGTAACAGCTGTGTCTCAATACTTGTCACCCAATCAGAGTCCATGATTGGACAGACACAATCCAATGAAGACTGCTTTTATATTGATATGCTCCTTCTCTGCGTCTTCTATTTCTTCTAGGTCCCCTCCTCTTCAGCAAAAAAAAACCCCATCCCATTGATCCCCTGGGCCCTCCTCCTGGAGAAGTTCCCTTTTCTTGGTTATAAGCAGCTGTTGTACCATAGTAAGAGGAATGACGTGTGTCTTCATCGTTAGAATCTAGCATCCCTGTGTCTCCTGGGAGGTCGTGGACTGCACTAACTCAGGTATGCTCCGAACCCTGAGTGGGGCTGTCTAGTGATGCTCATTGTCTGTTGGCTGTGTCCTGTTCACAGCTGCTCCCCAGTCTGCTCTGCATACCAGAGAAAGGGATATTGGGCCTGGTGGTGAGGTAGGTAGGAGGTGAAACAGATGAGACACAGAACAAATTACGCCTTGAACGTCTTGGAGGTAACTGGGGATCTTGGTACACAGCTTGTTCAAACATGAGAATAGTCAGACGGAGTAAGTTCTCTTCCAGAACTTCACATTGAGAAGGAGGGATATAGGTGGTGAGGTTTCCTGAGCCATGGGAAGGCCAGCTGTTATAATCTTCCAGTGATGCTTCTGCAAGCACATAGCATTTATGGTAGCCACCCTGGAGGAGCTAAGTCATTTCAGCTTAGGCTCAGAGGCTCACAGGGCTGAAGGGGTATTGGAGCCTTGCCTTGACTTCTCTTCCACCCAGCACTTTAGTCTAAGAAGATCACATTGCAAAGGGGTCCCTGCGCCCCTGCTTACACCAGTCTCTCCATCTTCAGACACTGCTATCAGAACTTTCTTTATTCTGTTCAGACTTGAAATTTGCCTCCCTGTAGTTCTATCCACTGATACCATTCTTTGTCACCACATGGAGCTAGTAACATATTTTTTTGTTTCACACAAGATAGCCCTTCAGAATTTCAAAGACAAGTACCATATCCCTGCTATATGATGACTTTTCCAGCTTAAAATCTGCAGTTCCTTCTTTTACATGCTCATGACAAAGTCCGAAGCCTCTATACACCCTGGCTGTCCTCTTTTGTAGAGACTGTTTGTCACATCCCCTTAAAAAGTGATCCTTGAACAAAATGAAGTTTTTCAGGGTATGAACAGACTGGACAAAGTATGATGGCAGGGGCATCTCTTTCATGCTGGCTATGAGACTTCTAGTAAGTAAGACAGATTAAGAAGCTACCCCGGGCAGCTTCATCAGGGCTTTGTAGACTTCAGCCATTGGCTGTGCAGATTTGAGCCACTGGGTCTATGCAGTCTTTGGTACACTGGATCTCGCTCCCATTTTGGAGATGAAAAGACTGAGGCCAGAAAAGCATAAGTGACCTGCCTAATGTCATGCCTCCTGCCCCCTGCCCCCTGCTCCAGGGGTTCACGCCACTGCTCCGCTCTGGAAGGTTAACTGAAGTGTGGTCAAACAAGCAAGAGCTCTGGAGAAATGAATCCATGACCCAGTCACAGCCCAGGTAACCACAGGAATTGCCCACTGGAAAAATCAGCAGCAGCCAGGATATGATTCTAGAACCAGTGTGTCTGTCCATTCGTGGGTGATAAGTATTGAGAGAGGGCTGGAGAATGGACAGCTTGATAATTTCATGTCAATCTCTCCTCATGATGCCCCTAGAGCTCCAAGAGACACCGCAGCTTATCGGAAGTCGTGAGAACACTCCAAGTTTTTTAAGTTCTGGTTTTCAAAATGGCTCTTGAGTGACTAAGAGGAATAGTGTAAACTCCCAGATTCCAGCCACATTTGCCCAGGGACAAGACCCCGAAGTGGACAGTTTTCTTCCTTACCTGTCTTCCCAGCTCTCCTAGCCCCTCCTTCCCTCTGTGGGGGTCCCTAAGCCCAGCCAGTCCTCTGCACCCTGGGAGGTCCCCCACCCTGCCCATCTGCTGCCTTCTCACCTACCAGCTCTGGACTCGGCTCCCTGAGCAGGAAACTGGACTCAAACTTGGTCCATATGGGGACGGCTGACAATCAGCCACCCCTTCCCAGAGAGTTCATTTGGGTCTCTTATTGCTGTTCATTGCACAACAAATAAGCACAAACCTAAATAAAACAAAGGAAATTCTTCCACTGTCCCACAACAGAACACACTGTTGCCTTTTCATTCTGTTTTTCTAGCTCTGTTCATATGCATATCCAATCTTTTATATTTGATTTCTGGGGTTTTTCCTACCCAATATTATTATATTGTAATGTAAGCATTTTTTTCATCTTCTGTTTTATAAGTGCTTTTTATAAGCATTTTTTAATCCTCTTTTGTTTTATAATTTTGATGGCTGCCTATGAGTCCCTCAAGGGGACACATTAATTTACCCATTCTCTTACTGTTGAATCATTTATTAAATTATGGTAAATACATGTAGAAAGATTCCTCCCCCCGCTTTGAAATTCTCCCCAATAATACATTTCCAGAAGCTGGATTAGTAGTTCAAAAGCCATGGACATTTTATGACTCCTAAAAATTCCAGCCAAACTACTTCTCAAAAAAAAAGTTATACTAACTTACATTTACATCACACATGTTAAAATGTGCCGAGTTGAGTGCAACCTCACTGCCCTGAGTATTACAGTTTTCATGTTGTGAATTTCACAGATATGACATGGTAACTTGTTATTTTCCCTAGTCTATTTGTATTTTAGAAGTGGCCTCTTCAAGGTGATACATTAGCTCATAGGAATAAGATACTTCAGGTACCTGGACTAATCAGAACAGAAATTATTTGCGGATAAATGTTCTTGGGCATCAACTCGTCCAGGGCAGCCTCCTATTTGTGGGATTATTTGTACATCCCAGAAATGAATTCTGTCCTTCCAACAGTCACGGCATGTTCTCTGCTCACACACCACCACCACCCAGCCTCTTTGCTCATTTAATTCCTTCCAGATGTTTGCACTCCTCAACAGGGAATAACTCTTAGCTGAGTGTGACTCTCTTAATTCCTGTTTATGCAAACAGCTCATTTATCTCTCTGCCTGGCCAATCCACTTTTAATGTGTTTTAATTATTTTTCAACTTTTATACTTTCACAAATGGGAAAACAAATCACAGAAGAGTGTAATATCATCTGCCTTGCCCTATGTACCAAGCACTGTTCTAAGTGCTTCCCATATTAATACACTTTTTTCTTTCTTTTTTTTTTTTTTGAGACAGAGTTTCGCTCTTGTTACCCAGGCTGGAGTGCAATGGCGCGATCTCGGCTCACCGCAACCTCCGCCTCCTGGGCTCAGGCAATTCTCCTGCCTCAGCCTCCTAAGTAGCTGGGATTACAGGCACGCGCCACCACGCCCAGCTAGTTTTTTGTATTTTTAGTAGAGACGGGGTTTCACCATGTTGACCAGGATGGTCTCGATCTCTCGACCTTGTGATCCACCCGCCTCGGCCCCCCAAAGTGCTGGGATTACAGGCTTGAGCCACCGCGCCCGGCCTAGACTTAATACTATTATAACCCTATAAGCATTATTAGGATCCTCACAGTTCGAATGAGGAAACTGAGGCACACAGAGGTTCGGTAACTCATAAGGTTTCATTGACAGTAGATAGTGATGAATGACCACGGGCTTTGCAGGTTGGTTCCAGAGGCCTCAGCTCTAGCCCCACTTTGCCAAACTGCTGAAAGGTGGATATAGAGAACACACTTTATTTATTGAGACAGTTTTGCTCTGTCACCCAGGCTGGAGTGCAGTGGTATGATCTCGGCTGACTGCAACCTCCACCATCGGGGTTCAAGCAATTCTCCTGCCTCAGCCTCCTGAGTAGCT